TACAATCTATATGCCTCATCTCCTAAATCATAAAATTGTGATAATTGGAAGGACTGTTGTGAGAATTGTACATATGTCTTGGACCCCAAATAGAAGTGGGTTTTGAGGGATGCATAGCAATGAGAAACTTAGTCACTGCTATGGACTGAATATTTGTGTCCTGCCAAAATCTGTATGTTGAAACCTAATTGCCAGTGTGATGGTATTAGGACACGGGGCCTTTAGGAAATTCTTAGGTTGTAAGGGTGAAGTCTTTTGAATGGAATTCATTTTCTTATAAATAAAAGGCACCCCAGAGATCTACCTTGCCTGTTCCTTCATACGACAAAACAGCAGGACGATGGTGGTCTATGAACCAGGAAGTGGGTCCTCACCAGATACCCAATCCATTGGCACCTTGATCCTGGACTCCCTAACCTTCAGAATTGTTAGAAATAAATGTTTGTTGCTTATGCCTCTAGACTGTGCTATTTTTGTTATAGCAGCCCTAATGGACTAAGGCCATCACCAAAGCTGTGGATCTCGTATATCTGCCCTGAATTGCTTATATTTGGACTGCAACATGAGAAGGAAATACAGTCGATCTTGTTTTTAAGTTACTTTAGTTTGACCTTTGTTACATCACTTGAGCCTGTATACCATCTTATATAGTGGAAAACCTGCTTTTAAGAAAGGAGCTAGTATCATCCTATCTAATGACATTGTGGTTAAATTGCACCAAGCAACATTTTATTCTATTTTATGCAACATTGCATTTTTTTCCAGATAATATTTTATTTTTTTTCCATTTATTTTTATTAGTTGGAGGCTAATTACTTTACAATATTGTAGTGGTTTTTCCCATACATTGACATGAATCAGCCATGGATTTACAAGTGGCAACATTGCATTTTTATTATGTTTCTTTTACGTTTTGACTGTTCTGGGTCTTTGATAAGACATGAGTGCTTCTCTTGTTCTGAAGCATGGGCTCAGTTCCTCTACAGCATGTGGTTCTTAGTTCCCCAATGAGGGATCGAACCCACATACCCTACATTGGAAAGCAGATTCTTAACCACTGGAACACCAGGGAAGTACCAACATTTTTTTTAATTACTTGTGGAAATACAGTTTTCATTTCTGAAATATAATGTTAAGTATTTTAGAGAAGGTAGGAGTAGAGAAGCATTTTGGGAGCTTATTATCCTGTTTGCCTGAGAGCTATGTTTTGCTGCACCCATGTGAGAACTCACCCTTGCCGGGACGCTGGAGAGACTCTCTCTCTAAGCAGAACCACCCTCCATGGAGGCATTTTGTGTTCCATTCAGTCTTCCCTCCTCTGATCTTTTTCTAATTGTATAATAAGTTTCACTGGGTTCTCTGCAAGAACCCACAAATACTTAAAATTAAGTGTTAGATAGTTATGCAAAGAAATAGAGGAAAACAACAGAATGGGAAAGACTAGAGATCTTAAGTGTTAGTTGGACTTTTCATCTTCTTCCCTTCCCCAAACAAAAGAAACAAATAAGACAAACTCACTGTCTTTTTGTTTCTATATCAAACAATGGATCTGCCATCTACCCAAGTGCTATCCACTTGTGCTTCCATGGGTGCTTCCAAGGTCTGTCCGGATGCTGTTCCTTTGGCCTCTTCCTATTTGATCCAGTCTTTACCAGGTTCATCCATCTTCCCTTATATTTTAGTTCAGGTGTCATTCCAGCTGGGAGTGTTTCTGGAATCCCATAGCCAAAGTAGTCTTACCACCTGTGCATTCCCGTAATACTGTACTTTCCCTATCATGGCAGTTATGATGAAGACTATCACTCCTTTAAACATTCTTTACCTTTTGACAAGACCATTCTCATAGGGGGATGTTGTGTCTAGCTTATGCCTGACCCAAGCAGGGACTCTGCAAATGTTTTTTGATTGAGTAAATTAATATTCACCAAGAGTCTTAAAATATTCTTACTCTTTAACTTAGGGCATCCTCTTTGTAGAAGCTAGTCTAAAGAAATAACTGAAAGTTTATGTTATTTTATAAGTGGTCATGTAAAAAATGAAAATGAAAAAACTCTTAATAAAGACATAGCTGGAAGTTTAGATTTATGTATAAAGGTGTTTATATACTATTCTTCCTAAACTCTAAATATTTAATACTAGGAAAATTGGTAAATAAACTACAGTACATCTCTATCATGGAATATTTTGAGGAAAGTTTTCAGCTAGAATCCAAATCTATATATACTTATTAATAGGCAAAAATATTTCAGAAATAACATTAAAAAATCCAGGGTACCCAAATGTGTATGTATGTATTTATGTGTTTGTGCATATAAGCACCTGCAGTCCAATTTTCTTAAAAATATTTATACATTATCAAAGGAAAAAAGATATATACTGAAATATTATCAGTAATATTTCTGGGATATTGATTTTTATACTTTTCCATATTTTCCACATTATGTATTTATAATTCATTATTTTAGCAACCAGAGAAAAACTCACCTTTTAAAAATTTAAAATATATCTTCAGTTGGTGACTCTTGCTGTAGGGGCACAGAGTTCTTTCTTAATTGCAAGAACCTTCTAAAATTTGCTTTAACAGGGCTTTGAGTTTTATTTTTTTAATTACAGTGCATATAACAAATAACATTAATGCATATATACATTCCTGTGTTCACCCAGATCTCTTGAACACAAGGAGGGTTTTTCAAAGGAGAATATATGTTATAAAGCATAATTATTAGTATCATATATTTGTTTTCCAGGGCCACTGTGACAAAGTGGGTACCTTCAACAACAGAAATATGTGGTCTTGAAGTTCTAGAGAATCAAGGTCCAAGATTAAGGTGTCAGCAAGTCTGGTTCCTTCAAAGGCTGTGAAAGAAGGATTTGTTTCAGGACCCTCTCCTTGGGTTGTAGACAGACATCTTTTCTCTGTGTCTCTTCACATTGTTTTCCCTTTATTTGTGTCATCTCTGTGTCCAAATTTCCCTTATTTATAAGGACACCAGTCATGTTGGATTAGAGTCCACCCACATCTCATTTTAACTTGATTATTTCTCTAAAGACCACTCTCTAAATAAAATCACATTCTGAGGTAGTAGGGATTAGGTCTGCAACATATATTTTGAGTGAGCAGGGGAGGTGGGAAGAGACAAAATTCAGCCCATATCAACACAGTCATTAATGGTTACTTTCATTCCAAAGGCTGCAGCATAGAAAAGCCTCTAATATTTCATCCTTTTGTTGTTTGATTCGTGAATAATCTCCTAAGTCAGTAAATAGATGGCAACACAGAAAAATCAAGTTCTTTTTTTTTTCCATTTATTTTTATTAGTTGGAGGCTAATTACTTTACAACATTGCAGTGGTTTTTGTCATACATTGAAATGAATGCTGTTCTGAAAAAGTAGGGTCCTTGTTTTGGTCTTGTGATATTTCCTATGTTAAACATAGTATTTATATAGAAATATATAGTTTAGAAAGAACCTTATTATGGAATTTCTTTATTAAGTAAAATTAATTAACTGTTACAATTAATTAATTAATCTACATAATCTCTTATAGAAGTGAATAAACTATTTCTCAGACAATAATTATTTTGCAGAAAATTGCCAAATATCACATCCAGAAAATCGCTCTCAACTGGTTTGTCTGGATCGTCATTCAGAATGTTTTCCGTTGCCTAAAATAGACCCCATGGTCCACGTGATCAAGACAAACTATTGGCTTCTACCTTTAACAAAGAAATATGATGGGGGGGTGGTCCATAGATTGCTTGGATATGAGACCTATTGACTCCTGTGAAACACCTCTTCTGTCCAAGTATATTTACCACATGGGGTCGCTGTTGCAACGAGCTGATTCTAAAATGTGACCCGTTTATGTTACTTCTGTACAAGGTGTTCTAGCATATTTAACTCTCTCATAAGTCCTTTTTTCTTCTCCACCTGGTACTGAAGGGAAGCTGGTTATTCCATACTTGGTATTTCATATATACTGTGTCAAAATGTTACTAGAAGTCATCAGGACTCATTGATCTTTTCCATGGGAAAATGAAAAAGTTGTTTACTTAGAATACTTTCAACAATTTTAGACCTGGAAGAAGTGCTCCCCAAATATTTTCTAGTGACTTTTCTTTCCCATATTAAATGAGCAAAGAACTCAACATACCACTATTTTTTCCACATTAATATGAGTACTTAACGTGTTTGGATCATTGCAATTGGCTGATTCAACTAACATGAAGGTATCTTTTGGATTTAGCTCTTTTTCAGAGTTAAAACAATTTTTAAAATTTCTGCTACTGAGTTTATATTGGGAATTTCGGGTTTTTTTTGGCTGCATGATCGTAGTTCCCACCCATACACACTGAAATGGAAACNTCTCTGTTTAATATCTGTCAAGTGAGTTTGAGTAGCAGATGTAAGGTGCGGACTTAGTGTGATTACAAAAGGACACCAGGGTGTCAGGAGATGAAAGGTCCAGTTCAGATGGCCTCATGTGCTCTTTTGTGGAATAAGATTAAGATTTTATTTCACCTTACATTGAACCAATGGAGGATTTCTGGGCATGAATGACCATCTCAGATGGATTATTCTCAGAGCTCCATGAATAGGAGACTGACTACAGTGGATGAGCACCTTCTGGAACTGTGGGAAATCGATGAGGAATAAGGAGCCTGGTGGGATCTATCCTTTGAAATGTTTGTTTCATTCAGAACAAATCTTTAGAGGGTTAGATCATAGCAAAGATCTAAAAGGAAATCCAGGCTGCTATGCTGTTGTGCTAGAAGTTTTTACCACTCTTCTTCCTGAATGTTCAGTTGAACCTTGAGGGGAAGCCCATTCTGAGGAGCTGTGGCCCTGCTGTTGGCTTGCTCTGGGGACAGCCCCCGTGTGAGAGCTGCTAGTGTGGGCTCTGGAATTTGCTGCCACGTCTCTTCCCTGGTTCATAGCCTGGTCCAGGCTCAGACTCAGCAACCGAACTTAGACCCTGGGTCTTGGTTTACATTAGAATATGAGACAGATGACAAGAGTAACCGTGCTCCTGACCTTGGGTGAGTTATTATGGCATTAAGAGAAATTGGGATCTGGGTCCAGACAAGGATCTACAAGCTTGCCTGCTACCATTGCTCTTTATTCAAGATGCTGAGGGATGGCTTTGGGGTCCTATTTTTCTCCAGGCTGTTCCTTGGCTTTTATGTGAGGAGTGAGAGAAATAAAGACATTCGGGGTTACTGAGCTCTGGTCTGTTCATGGGAGGAAGAAATCTGACCTGCCACTTCTGTTCGTGTGTTCCTGGGATTCCTCAGAATAAATATATATAAAAAATGTGTCCCGAAAGAGGAGTGAGAAGTAAATTGTCTGTTCATGTGTTCCTGGGATTCCTCAGAATAATTAAAAAAAAATGTGTCCTGAAACACAAGTGAGAAGTAATTTGTGTGTGTCTGTATATGGTGGGGAAATAGGGATTTACTTGTGACAGAACCTGGAGGGTGCTGAGTTGGACCTTCACTTTGATGTCAAAATAGGACTAGTGTTGTGTTTTTTATTTCCACAGGTACTTTGAGTTTTGCTAAGACCTCCCAGCCCGTCTTCATTGACTCATACGAAGGACAAGACTTGAACATATCCTGTAACCACACCACGATAGCTACAAATGACTATATCTTCTGGTATCGACAGTTCCCCAACCAGGGACCACAATATATCATTCAAGGATATAAGACAAACGTGGAAAATGAAGTGGCATCTCTGTTCATTCCTACTGACAGGAAGGTCAGCACCCTGATGCTGCCCCGGGCTTCCCTGAGAGACAGCGCTGTGTACTATTGCATTGTGAGGACGCACACTGCGACAGATGGGGCTGCACCTGTGCAGTATCCCCGTGTGGGGTGGGAGTCACAGCCCAGGGGATCCCCAGTGTAGTGCCTTCTAATGTGTTTATTTCACTGTACTATTTTCAGATGGTATTAGCAAATCCATGTATTACTTTACTATTTTAAAAAATATTGATCTTATTTATTTTTAAAACAGGTATTCTATTGCTATGGTCTAAAATTAAAAAAACACAAAGGGGCATGATGCCTTTGTCCCATTATTGTCTCTGAGCTGCTCAGTTATACAAAAGGAGACAATGTATG